TTTTTTTTTTTTTTTTTTTTTCTTTAGGGTTGAAAATTTATGAAACAATAATAAAAAAATGTCAAATTTTCTTTGCTAGATTTACACGTCAATAAAATTTTAAAAATCCAATGATTTTGTGGCATTTTAACGTGCCACCTATCCATTTAATTGATGCAAGGACCGTTTTGGTATCAAAAATAAAAGTTTAGGGATAATTTTAGTATTTTTTAAAGTTGAAGAACAATATTGGTACCAAAATGAAAAGTTGAGGAACCAAAATGGTATTTTAACCTTTTAATTTTTGTATTTTCCTTGAAAATAAATGTGAAAATGTGAAGCAGTAATGCTTTAGGACTATCCCACTCCTAATAGCTAGAAAGAGTAAATTCAAAGTAAAGCAATGTAGACGGCTAAAAAAAAGAAGTAGCATATTTCACACATATCATATTTAAATTTTGAGAATATATTAATTATATTGTTTAATACAAACTATCTAAATAATTTGGTAATAATTTTATTTTAATAAGAATAAAAGATTTTAAATTTTAATCATATAATATGTGGGTACAATGGGTTAAAAAATAAAAAAAATTATCTTTTATTGGACAACATAAGATCAAAAAAATTATATTGTTTAATAGTTTAACTTTGTTACTCATCCATTCCTTTTAAATTTTTTATAAAATTTTTTTATGAAAAATATATAAAATTTATTTTAAAAGGAGATTACATATCATAATCATTAATATCAAAAAGAAGCTAGAACCTAAAATACTATTAGTTAATGCCATATTAAATTTGAATAATTAAGTAAAGAGAGTTAACTATTATTAGAGATTGCAAAAGCAATCACAAGCAAATACAGACCTATCAAAGTAGAAATAATATCTTGACCAATGACCAAAGCTACTAAATAATCATTACTACATTGTCCACTTCCATCTCTAGGGTAGAGATTAGTCACAAACCTTATCTAATGATTATGTTGTTGACATTTGATAATCAGAACGAGTTATTATAAGTTTTACATTCGTATTGTTTTCCTTATTTACAATAAGTAAAATCCTGATGAAATTGATTAAGAAAGTTTAGATAAAATTTTCTAAAAGAGAAAGAAAAACCCTATTTAAGAGAGAAAATCTTCTAAAAGAAGAGACAATTTCACATTTATAAAGAGTGAGAGGACTTGTGAATCAAATATGACAACAGATACCATTGCTAAAATGGGGCACAACATTTTGGAGGATTTTATTGTTTTTGATTGTATTCCCCGACAGTTAAACAAGCATGAATCGTTCATATCATAGGGATTGAATTCCCTAGTTATAACTTGTTGATATATCTTATTGTTATGTAATACCATATCCTCTAT